TGTTAGGTGCCATAGAGTCATGTACAACTCAGAGACCCCATGAAAAAAAGATCTGAAACCAGTCCTGTCCTGTACCATCCTCACACTTCCTGACACACAAGAGCTCACTGAAGCAGTCACTTTGTCAGTCCACCTGGTTAAGGGTCTTCCTCTCCCCCGCCAACACTCCACTCTTCCCAACATCATGTCCGTCTCCAAGGAATTGCATCTCCTAGCAATATGTCCAAAATATGACACAAAAGATGACTTTACACATGTATTTCACCCAATAGGCTTCATAGAAATTGGATTGACTACATTTGTGGGAGAAATCGTTGGAGAAGCTCAATATCAGCAGTCAAAACTAGGCCAGGGCCAGACTGTGAGTCAGGTCATCGGTTACTCATATGCAAGTTCAAATTGAGGCTGAAGAAAATTAAAATAAGTCCACAGGAACCAAACCAGGTAAGATCTTGAATCAATTCCATTGGAATTTCATGATCATTTTAAGAACAGGTTTTGAGGCATTGAACACCAACTACAAAAGACCAGATGAGTTGTGGGATGACATCAAGGATATCATCCATGAAGAAAGCAAAAGGTTATTAGAAAAACAGAAGAGAAAGTAAAAAACCAAAATGGATATCAGAAGAGACTCTAAAGATTGCACTGGAACATCAAGAAGCCAAATTGAAAGGAAAATATGTCAAAGTGAAAGAGCTGAATAGATGGTTTCAAAGGGCAGCTCGAGAGGACAAAGCAAAGTATTATAATGGAATGTGCAGAGAGCTGGAATTGGAGAATAAAAAGGGAAGAACTCGCTCTGCATTTCTCAAGCTGAAGGAACTGAAAACAAATTTAGGCCTTGTGTCACAATGTTGCTTTGCAATAGTACTCTTTATTTAACTCATATTTCTGCACCCTGGGCTGAGTTCAGCTGGACAGCTGCTTGAGTCTCTGTTGGGCTTTCTCGCCCTGTCTGTTGTCAGCTGTGGGTTTGCTTTGCTGATCATATCTGGGTTTTTTCACATATCTGAAGTCTTGACTGAATCATGGCTCTCATGTTCCAGCAAACTAGCCCTCCAAAATGGGTAGAAGTACACCAGACTTCTTGAAGTCTACACTTAGAACTGGTAGACCATAATTTTAACTACATTCAACTGACCAATTTCTCATCAATCATCTATGCTAGGAAATTTGGAAGATTTGATCAGATGGATCCATAGTGTGTCCATTCTAAAAAGTAAGGTAATTCGACAGAATGCTGAAAGTATCCAACATTATCATCAGTATTTCACGCAAGTAAAACCTTGGTGAAGATAATTTAAAAATGGTTAAATTAGTGTATCTATTGAGAACTTTCAGGAATTCAAGCTAGATTCAGCAGAGGCCATGGGACTGGATGATGGATATCAATCATAGCAAATATAAGACGGACCTTGAAAGCAGAGAATACCAGAAAGATGTTTATTCTGTTGCATTGACAATGAAAGGCATTTGACTATGTAGGTTTTTATTAACATTTCAAAGAACAGGACTTCCAGAACACTTAATTGTGTTCATGTGGAACTTGTGTACAAAGAAGCAGTAAATTAAACAGAACAAGGAGGTAATGCCTGGCTTACCATCAGGAAAGATGTGTATCAGGCTTGTATCTTTTCATCATCTCCGTTCAATTAGTATGCTGAATAAATAACCCAAAAAGTTGTGTTGCATAAAGAAGACTATGACATCAAGGTTGGAGGAAGATGCAACAATGACCCGAGACACACAGATGACACACCTTGCTTGCAGGGAATGAAGAAGACTTGAAGCATAGATTTATGGGAAGCCAAACTCTATACCAAATATTATATAAAAACCCTTGTTCAGGAATTGAAGGAATTACAGATATATAAGTTAGGATTTCTCTTGTGGCACATCCTAGAAAATGAGCTGTTTGTTCCCTGCAAGACAAGAGACAGCAAGGGGCCCCCTACAGAGGGAGTGTTACTTCCTGAGCTAGAATGCACCCTGAGGCATCAAGGTTAATGGTTAAGGGTAAACCAAATTCTTGCATTTGTGAACCCCTCCTTCCTGAGTCAAGCAGAAGGTTTTCAATAGAAAGAGCTTGGCTTCATTTGCTTTGAATTCTCTTTGTGATTTACTTCCTGGTAATTTTCAATAAAGATACAGAGAAGCTTGGCTTGGGGTCTTCAGTCCAGAACTGCTAGCCCCCTGTTTTATGCTCTCTGCTTTATCACATTCCTGGCTGTTTGTCTCATTATTAATAATTATAATATTATTCCATTCTTTGGGACCCTCGGTCTGCAACATAGATTGATGAAGCTCAAAGGTGTCAGCTTTCAGTATCACCTCAACATCAAGGAAAACAAAAATCCTCACAACTGCACCAATAAAATAAACATAATGATTAAAGGAGTAAAGATTGATGTGGAGTACTTCATCTCATTTGCATCCACAATCAGCACCCATAGAATCTGCAGGCAAGAAACCAAATGAAGCATTAAATTTGAGCACATTTGCTGCCCAGGACCTCTTCAAAGTGTCAATGAAAAAAGAAATCACTTTAAAGACTAATACACATCTGGCCCAAGCCAAAATGTTTTCAACAGTTTCATGTTCTAGTGAAAGTTGGATAATGAGTAAGGAAGATGGATGAAGAATTGGTGCTTCCAAATTGTGACGTTGGCGAGAAGTCCTGAATATACCATGGACTCCCAAAAGCACAAGCAAATCTGTCTTGGAAGAACTGCAGCCAGAATGTACCTGAGAAGCAAGGATGGAAAACTTCGGGCATATTATCAGGAGGAGTCAATCGCTGGAGAATATCATGCTTAGGCAAGAAGAGTTAGTGGAAAAGAGAGGAAGGCTTTTGATGAGATTGCTTTACACGGTGACTGTAGCAATGTGTTTAAATACACCAGAGATTGTGACGATGGCACAGGATTGGGGAGGGTTTTATTCTGTTGTACATTGGGTTACTATAAGGCTACATCTAACTGATTCGTGGAAGCCAGCAATAACAATTGATCAAACCAAGCCAACAAGATCAGCTCAGATTCAAGGTATGGAGGAATGGCCTCTATAAGGCAATGCTACAAGAATTATGATCTTTTTTTTTTTTGCAGTCTGTCTTATCATTTAGGCATTATAAAGATCAGATTATATCCTTTATATCCTCCCAAATTATATCCTTTTAATATTTGCTAGTATGTAAGTCAGCAAGTGACTCAATGGCACATAACAACAACATGTAAGTCAGAGGCAATCAGGGGTTTCTTTTTTTTTTTACTTTTTTAAATTATTATTATTAAATTTTATTAGTTTTAATGAACATTTACAGGGATTTTGGGTTTTCAATCCTTCATTGCTGCACCATTCTCTCTACCCTCCTCCCCAGTTTGTTCTTCTTCCCCCGCCATCTGAATGTCTGTTTTAATTGTCCAATTGCCACAGTGCTTGTCAAAGTCAGTTCTGATTAATCTCCTTTGTCAGTGTGTCCTTTGCCATTCCCTATCACTCCTCCCTGAGAGAGACTTCACCCTGATTCATAAGGAAAAGGGGATGGCGTATTCTCTTAGCTACTTCCTGCTGAAAAGGGATGCTGTGGGTTTCAGGGTGAAGATCTTCTCTCACTACTCTAAAGGGCCCCTTTGGCAGTAGGAAACACATAGACTATTATGGAAATTGATTTTGGAATTTAGATGCACTGTTATTAATTGTGCTTAGCCATACATGTTCATATCCTTGAAGATGCATCATGGGGGTGTTGCAACCTAGAAGACACAAATTTAACTAACAAGTTATAAGTACATGAGTAAAAAATTATGGAAAAGTAAAAGAAAAGATTCTTTCATTGTTTTACAAACCCTCCCCCAGGTCCCCTCCACCATGGAGCCATCGCTCTAGACTCCTGTGATGACAGAAATACCTAGTCACATATCTCTTTTAAACAGTTTTCTCCCTCCTCTGTTTCAGTGCAGTATACATTATTGAACCCACCTTACTCAGTCTCACCCCAACCCCGAGGTTAGTCCTATTCTACAACAGTGGCATCAGGCAATCAGGGGTTTCTAAATCAGGACAGAAAATTTGTGTGTCTCTCATTCTCTGACTGTCCCCTCCCTTTTCTCTACTTTTTTTTTTATTATTTTTTGTGCATGTACCATCAAATCAGATCTGACTGGTACAGGAGGAAATGGTCCCTCCTTCTCCGGCAGAGCATCTGGTGGATTCGAACCATGTACCTTTGGGATTGCAGTACAGCTTCTTGCCACTAGGCCACCAGAGCTTCCCCCTTTTCTCTACTTTTACCTCTTCCTCTGGCAGATTCCAGCCCAAGGCAGCTGCCCACTTGTGCTGACTATGACATCTTTCTGACCATGACGACCTTGGACCTCATGGCAGTAGTGGAGGCTGATGTTCTCCTGGTGCTCTGTCTTCTGAGAGGTGAAAATTGTCTCACAGCTGAGATTTACAGAAAATAAACCTCGAGCGAAAGAGAAGCAAACTCTAAGTGTGTCTCAGGTCCCTCACATCAATGCTAAGCCCTTATTATTCCTGCTTTGTGCTCAGTTAGATCACAGCTCCCAAGCCTGCCCTGCATTCTGATTTAGAGTAGGAAAGAAGAGAGTCCTGGGCAAATACTTGGAACTTCTTCCCTCCCAGAAACTTCCAGAGGTTTGTGAGCAACATTTCTTTATCCAATTGCCTTATTCATAGCATTTCCTACCTTCTGAATATATTATTTATACATGTATATGTGTGTGACCTGTCTCTCTGCAGAATAAACATAAGCTCTTTCTGTGCAGGATTTCTGCATGCTTCTTGATGATCTCTGCATGCCAGGTGCTGAATCACGAGGACCCTATGCCAGAATGCTGCAAGGTGAGCTGTCCCCCTGGGGGACAGGAGGGCCTAGGAGCAAGAACTGTAGCCTGTTGGGATGATCTGGAGGACTTCCCAGAAGAGTGGCCTCAGAGCACACACTGAAGGACAAAGAAGATCCTGTGACCTCTTTAGCATTGGAGCTTGTGCCTGCCACACCGGGGCCGGCTGGAGAAGAGCTGCTTGGAGTTTTCTCATAGGGTGGGCAGGTTCTTTTTTAAGCAGTACACAGATTGCTAGTCACACTCACAGGCTCTCAACCCCCAGAGACAGCCAATATTAGGACCCAGGGCATATCCACCTGTAGAAAGAGAGAGACTAGAAGATCACCAGGAGCTCCCAGCCATGCCCAGGGGTTGACCCTAAGGTTGGGGAGAAAGAAGAGCTTGATGCAAGGGGTCTAAGCATCCTCAAATCTTTCTACGATCATACTTGGACGTCTGGAAGGAGATAAAGAAGGGGAGTGTGGGCTGCTAGGGATGAGGGACTTGAATTAGGATGGGCCATTGTTTGGGTTGTTTCCAGCCCACTGGCCAAAGAAAACAAAAAACCAAACCCTTCTCTGCCCCTCAGCCTGTTCTGCCCTTCACTGAAAGGAGGAGGCATACAACACTGAAGAGACAGGCTGAGCTTGGAGGTGTGCCTTCAGCACTATCCACTCAGCATGCACAGATGTATGGATAAGCGAAAAAGGATTGTTGGCTTGAGGAGCAGGGAGACATGAGGGCCTCTGGCTGAGTGACTTGGCCCCCATGTAGGAAGTAAGGTTGAATGAAGGGACCAACCAGTGTGGAACTCAGGGGAAAGTGTGGATTCCTAATGTCCATTTGGACCTAGCCACAGGTAGTTGGCACTAAGCTGACCAGGACCCAACCAGATGTAGAGAAGACAGTGTTAACTGCTGCCACCTGATGGCTCGCTCTGTGCTGGACTTTGCTTGTGGATACAGATGCTCAAAGTTTCCAAACTGAACAGGAGATTCTTCAGCAAAAGGGAAATACTTGTTCCCTGTATAGTACTGGTTTGACAGAGGTGAGCAAATCAGAAATTGGCTATCTAAAATGGGCTTATTAAGTCATGAGGCATGTGGCTGGCTTGCATGTGTTTGTGAATGTAGTTATTAGCAAGGTGATTGTAAGGGGGGGAAACCCCACAGTATACAGGAACAAAAGAAAATATAAGTGAAAGATTGTTTAAACACAACGTACATGCATGAACACAATGTATATGAATGTTGTATGTAAATGGCACCGCTTCCTACTCGAGTTAGAAAACCAGGAGCCGACCTCAATTCCTCCCCTGTTTTGACTTTTCCTATCCAGTCCACTATCAGCAAGCCCTGCTGATTTTCTGTCCATTTAAACGACATCACACTCTGCCCTTATTGTCCCCATCTGCTTAGTCACTATTCAAATCCTTGTCTTTACCAACTCTACCTTCCTAATAGGAAAAAAGAAGCAGGAACTTTCTTGAATTATATCCTGAATTATGTTCAGTCTCCTGCCTAAAATCCTACTGTGTTTTCCCATTATGCAGAAGAGAAATCTCAAGTTCCTGCCAAAGTCCACAAAGCAGGCTGGCCATGATCCAGCACCTGTCAGCCTCTCCATCTTCATCGCCCTCTGCTCTCCCACGCTCACTCCATTCTAGTCACACTGACTTCTCTTTGTTTTCTTAGTTAATGTTTTACTGAGTATTGAGTGAAAATTTACAGAGCAAAGCGGCTTACTAGTCAACAATTCACAAAATATGATGTTTTGTGGCATTGATTGAAGTACCCACATGATAACAACCCTCTTCCCACTTCCTACCTGTATTTCCAGTTTCCATTCATACTTCCTTCCTATCCCTTCCAGCCTTCTGAGATTTGTTCTTGGGTAAATGTTGCCTTTTTAATCGTGTACAGTTGTGTACAGTTGATGGTTCCAAGGATTGAGTGCCTTCCTGATCCTTTAATCAAGTCATGGTTTTATTGTGTGCTATTGAGTCAGAACTGACCCATAGCTGACCCTCCAGAGGGTTTCAGAGGCAGTAATTTCACCACTTCATAGGCAAGTCTATTTGGCTGCAAGTTGAATCATAGGGGTGATTTCAGTTCCAGGCTCGAGGGGTGACTAAGGGTGATTTAAGGATCAGTCTTAGAGTTTTGACCCATCTCCATCAGTGCAGAATTCTGGTTTCTTTCCTACACTTACCACTTCTATATCACATGCTTTCTGTCTTGTCTCAGGGTCTTTGCACTCGCTAAAGATGGTCAATCTCCTCCTGTGCCATTTGTTGTTGTTAGGTGCCATTGAGTCAAGTAGGATGAGAACCCTAGAACCCTATTCAGTAGATCTGGTCCTTTTCCTCTTCCAAGTCATTTTCACAATCTCTGACATAGTTGAGCCCATTGCTTCAGTCATTGTGTCAATCCACCTAGTTGAGGGTCTTCCTCAAGTTAAAGGCAGGTGTGGGTTCGGTGTTTGTTTGGTTTTTTTCCCAAAACAAAGTGGGTAAATTGTACTCTGCCACCGGAAGTTTCACACCAGAAATAGTACAAAGGTTTTACATTTAGCATGTTTTTGTTTACATGTATAAAAAAAAAGATTGCAAAGAAATTGTCAGTGTTTAATTCGGCCAGCTTCATAAAGAATAAAACCTATTCAAGATAAATCTGATCTTCTAAAAGATTATCTTTTGCCATCCTCCACCTTTCCAAGGACAATGTCCTCCTCCAAGGAATAGCCATTTACAGCCTCTGAAAAATTGGAGAATGAGTTATGAGTCAGTCCCTGCTCCATGGCAATGGGTTGAACTGTTGATGATTCTCTTTTGTCTACAATTCTGAGATCTTCAAAGAACTGCATCTACACTCTGGGCATCACTGCAATTTCACCTCCTCAAACAGGTCCTCCCTCATTACTGGCTCCCTCTCAATTATTCTCTCCCTCACCTTCCTGTTTATTTCATAATATTTTTCCACAGTCAGCAATTCTCTTACTTGTTCACTTGCTCTGCTCGTTTGTTCATCTCTCCTCATTAAAGCACTGTGAGGCTAATATTTTGTCCATCTTGTTCACCATAATTTCCAGCATCCACAACAGATGCTGACACATAATTAGTACTCAACAAATAGTCATTGAATGAATGAAGCCCCTATGGGGCTCTGTTGTTGTTGTGGTTGTGGTTATGTGTCATTGAGTCACCTACAACTCATAGTGACCCTATGAACAACAGCTCTAAACCCTGCTCTATCCTGAGCCAATTTTATTGTCTCTGACACACCTATCCCAATTCCCCAGTCACCGATTCAATCCATCTCATCCAGGGTCTTTCTATCTTTTGCTGTTCCTCTACCTTTCCAAGCATAATCTTCCTCTCTGAAGACTGGTCCCTAATGGCAACATGTGCATAGTACGTCATATAGAGCTTCAAAATCCTTACTTCCAATGAGCAGCCCAGTTTTACTCTGTCCAGGATAGACCTGTTTGTTCTCTTAGCAATCCATGTATGTTCCATTCTCTTCTCCAGCACCACAGCCCAAAGACATCAATTCTTCTATTCATCCTTGTTTATTGTCCAGATCTCTGATGCACAGCAAATAACTGTGAAGACCATGGCCTGGATCAGGTGCACCTTAGTCTCTAGACAGACATAATTACTCTTCAGTACTCTGGAGAGGTCCCTGACAACAGATTGTCCCGATGCAATTTATCTTTTTATTTCTTGGATGCTGGTACTAAGAGTGTTTATTGTGGAGCCAAGCAAACTGAAGCTATTAAAACTCTCAATCTCTTCTCTGTCTATCATGATGCTGCCAATTGGCCCACTGGCGAGAATCTTTGTTATCTTGATGTTGAGCTTCAATTTACAGGTTTTCCTCAATTTCAGCAAGCACAGTTGTGTCATCTGCGTAATGCAGGTTGTTGATTTGTCTTACTCCAATCCTGATGCCACATTCCTCCTCATAGAGGCCAGCCTCCTGGATGATCTGTTCTACAAAGAGATTGAGAAGGTCTGGAGACAGGATGTATCCCTGGTGTACACCTTTCCTGATTTAGGACCATGCAATGTTTCTTTGAGGGTCTGCCTATTTTCTGTTTCACCACTAGGCAGGAATTTTTTCTTTAGTAATAGGTGCGGTGATGCTGTGGGAGGGTAGAGGTAGGGATTGTGGGTGAGCACATACACACATTCACATAAAACAAATATGCTGCTCGCTAATGCACATATTCCTCTTTCTAGATAGCTCCAAGTCAGCTCCACTCTCCTCTCTGGCTGGGAGGTGGGTGACACCAAGACCACTCCTCATTTTGTGCTTTTGAGCAAGTTACCAAGCCTCACTAGGTTCAGCATCCTCATCTATAAAGCCACCTGGTGGTACAGTGGTTAAAACACTGGACCTTTAACTGAAAGGTTGGTAGTCTGCGTGCCCCATCTGTTCCATGGGAGAAAGATGTGGCTGTCTGCCTCTGTAAATGAGATTACAGCCTGGGATCAATTCTGCTCTGCTTTATAGGGATGCTATTAGATGGAATCAACTCAAAGGTTGGGTTTTGGTCTCCTCATCTGTGGGGTAGATTTCTTCTCTTTTATGTAGGAGACCCATGTTTGAGTCCTAGCAAATGTACTCCGTGCACAATTACCACTCATCTGTCAGTGGAGGTTTGTGTGTTGCTATAATACTGAGCAGGTTTCAGGGGGAGATTCCAAACTAAGATAGACAAAGAAGAAAAGCCTAGAGACCTGCTTCTGAAAATCAGCCACCAAAAATTTTACAGATGACAACAATCTGGTGCATAGCTAGTCATGAGAGGGCCCAAATTGGCAGCATTTTGTTACCGTGTGCATGGATTGCCATGCATTGGTGGCCGGTGCAATGCAGGTAACAACACAACAATTCTCATCCATAAAATAGTGATAAAACAATGTTGTTTGTTGATGTGTACCATCACCTCAGAACTGAACCATAGCTGACCCTCCAGTGGGTTTCCAGAGGCAGTTAATTACACAGGAGGAGACTGCCCATCCTTCTCCTGTGGAGCAACTGGTGGATTCAAACCACGTGCCTTCAGGATTGCAGCTCAGCTTCTTATCACTAGGCAAAATAAAGACTCATGTTTATGTCATAGGATCATCGTAACAATTTATATTATTTACAGATGGAATGGCTTGGCTGTGGTATTATTAAAATCATGCCCCTTAGCTTAATGTACAGGAAAAGAAATAATCTCCTACCTCTTTCATGACCCACAGGATATATAATGCATGGCTATATTTTCCAGATATGAGGTTTAATGGGAAACCATGATCCCACTTTCAGTGCATAGTATCATCTGGTGGGACTTGTATAACTGCATGAATCTGAAGAATTGGTCCTCATCCTACCAACTACAGCTCCAGAGAGGCCCCTGGGACATACAGGACCCACTGGTTATTTCAGTATCCATGTTATTGT